TTTTTTTTAAGTTCAAAAAGCACCCCGTGGCCTATCCAGAACTCACCCGAGCCCTCGGGGATCCAAACCAAACGTACACACAACCTAAAAAAAATCCTATGGACTTATTCGTGCGATCAAATCGCCAAAATAACATCATATACATCGAATTAAACCTCAAATTTCCATGAATTCTTTCAAACTTCATTAAACATCAAATTTTCCAATTTAGGTCCGAGTCACGTCAAACGACATCCGTTTCCAACCAAATTTCACATGAAGGACTTAAAACATATATAAGACCTGTACTGGGCGCCGGAACCAAAATACGTGCCCGATACCATCGCTTTCTAATCAGATTTCATTTCCAACTTCCTTAAACAATTTCAGAAAACAATTTTACTAAAAAATTCATTTCTCGGGCTTGGGACCTCGGAATTCGATTCTGGGCATACGCCCAAGTCCCATATTTTCCTACGTACCCTCCAGGACCGTCAAATCACGGGTCCGGGTCCGTTTACCCAAAATGTTGACCAAGGTCAAATTTATTCATTTTAACATCAAAACTTAGCATTTTTCACAGAATTTCATATTTAAGCTTTCCGGTTACGCGCCCGGACTGTGCACGCAAATCGAGGCAACTCTAAATAAGGTTTTTAAGGCCTCGGAGACACAGAATTCAATTAAAAATAGGTGATGACCCTTTGGGTCGTCACAGTCCCCCTATTTGTAATAAAGGAAATTTTTTCCTCATCTAAAGGATCCATTTTTATTTGATCATATCCTGAGTAGGCATCTAAAAAACTTAACAATTCATGTCCTGCAGTAGCATCAATTAGTTGATCTATATGTGGTAAAGGAAAAGAATCTTTAGGGCAAGCTTTATTCAAGTCGATATAGTCTACACAAACTCGCCACTTACCATTCTTTTTGGGCACCACTACAGTATTAGCTAGCCAATTAGGATATTTTACCTCTCGGATAGACCCGATTTTTAAAAGCTTTTGTACCTCATCCTGAATCACTTGTTTTTGAAGGATCCTTGCTTCCTTTTCTTTTGTTTGATAGGTGGGTATGTCGGATTTTCATTTAGCTTATGGGTCATCACCTCCGGTGGTATACATGTCATATCTGAATGCGACCAAGCAAAGCAATCTGCGTTAGCTTTTAAGAATTCAATTAACTTACCTTTCATCTCTGGGTTCAGGTTGGTTCCGATGTAAACTTTTCTGTCCGGCCAATGTATAAACAACACCACATCTTCGAGTTCCTCAATTGTTGTTTTGATGTTTTCGTTCTCTTCTGCTCTTGAATAGTATCAGGCCTTGAGTCTACATACGTTTGTCCATCTCCAGTTGAGGTTTGAGTTGTTAAACCCTCAACTGAATTCTATAATTGCTATTTTTCGTCTGCAGCGTCATTTTTTATGCTTGAATCTGCCACTAAATTGATACTTCTAGAAGCCTGTTGATCACCACAGATTTGTCTAATTCCCCATTGGGAAGGGAACTTAATAACTTGATGTAAAGTAGAGGGAACAACATCCATTTCGTGAATCCAAGGTCTACCGAGGATCATATTCTACGCCACGTCCATATCTATCACTTGAAATTTCGTATCTTTAACTAATCCTTCTGCGAATGTGGTGAGCACTATCTCCCCTTTAGTAAACAACGCTTGAACTGTCAAATTCAAATAAGGTACGTGCTTTGGGTACCAATTTGTCATGTTTGTATCTCATTTACCACTCTTAAAAGAATGATATTTACAGAGCTACCTCTTATGTACAAGTAAAGATATTACCAATGCATCATTGTGTGGGATCAACACGCCATTTGCATTTGCATCATCAAATATTATACTGTCTTTTTCCAAAACTTGGCAAACTCGCTTTCCGTGGGTAACTGTGAGTTTTGACACCTTTTTTGCAGCCGTATATGTCACACCGTTGACCTCATCTCCTCCACTTATCACATTAACCGTTCTTTTTAGTGACAGAGGTTCCGGTGGCTCCTGTCTATTATTCATATATGCTTGCTTACCCTTCTCACTAAAATCGGTTAAATAACCTTGTTTTAACAAGTGCTCTACTTCACCTTGTAGTAATCTGGGTTTCTTCTGCTAGGGTTCGATCTCATTTCTTTTGGCCACCACACCTTATCTCCCTTACTCCTTAAAACAGCTACCAATTCGATTGTGCTAACATTGAAACTGTAATCTCCAATCTTTGCTTTTGAACTAATGTCGATGTCCCGCGTATCTCGCTCTTTTCTAAACTTGGATGACGAACTCGCATCTCCGTCCCTTGATCTGGGACCGTACCTCGGGTTCTCTTGTTTTGAACGTGAATCCCTTCCTGCTGGTCCCATGTAAGGTTCGTACCTGTTCTTACCAGGCCTTTTTTCAGTTTCTGGTCGCCTCGAACTTGTTCTTTCATCTCCCCATGACTGAGTGATAGCATCTTCTTCTATCCGCAACTTCGTGCTATAGCTGTTGTAAACATCATTCCAAGTTGTTGTAGGAATTCTCGTAAGCTTTCTTTGAGTCTCCTCGTGGCTTCTGAGCTTTTTTCATTTAGGTTACTTGCAAATGCCAAAGCCGCCCAATTATCAGGTACACATGGTAACATCGTCCTTTTACGCTGGAATCTATCCACGAATTCCCTAACTAGCTCCGTATCTCCTTGTTTTATCATGAAGATGTCTTCCATCCCTTTTTCAACTTTTTGAGCTCCCGAGTGTGCTTTTATAAATGAATCTTCCAGCTCAGCAAAAGAATCAATAGAATTTTCTGGTAAAAGAGAATACCATGTTAGTGCTCCTTTTGTGAGTGTTTCACCAAATTTTTTGACCAGCGCTGACTCAATCTCTTGCTTGGTCAGGTCGTTGCCTTTCACGCCAGTTGTAAACGCAGTTACATGATCTCGTGGGTCGGTTGTCCCATCATACTTCGGGATATCGGGCATCTTAAACTTTTTTGGAATTGGAAAGGGAGCGGCACTTGGCTTCCAGGGTTGATGAGAATATTTATGAATATCCACTCCTTTAATCACGGGTGGCACACCAGGTATCTGCTCTATGCGAACGTTCTGCTCCTTGAGCTGTTTCTGCAAAGTTAGTACTAAACTTTGTAAATCAGAATTAATTGGAATACCTGACCTTCCATCGCGAGATTCGCTGGGAGTTCCTCCACTGCCTGAATTGACGAGTCCTGAGCGTGGGTTCTCTATGGTTGCAGTGTTGTTTGGATGTGGAGTTGGTGGTACAGTTGGTAATCCACTACCAAAAGTTTGAAGAGCATTGTTGATGTGTTCTGCAATTAGTTGCTTCAATGCATCTTCAGCAGTTTGATCTTCCCCTTGTTGGTTATTTACATGTAATGTTGATCTGTCAGGTGACCCTTCTCGGGAGTGTTGAGGAGAATTTCGGGGTGAAGGGATTGGAGTTCCATCCTCTTGTTGATTCGTTGGTTCAACTGGTTTTGCTAGTTTTGTTGGTTGTTGTCGTTAGCGGTCGACATGATTTTTTGACAGAAAAATAAATTTGGAAAGTGAAAAGATTATCAGTTTCCCGGTAGCGGAACCAATTTGTTTAGCCAAAAATAGTGTACTTCGGTCAAAGCTTATTTTTAGAAGTCCTCGGGCTACTGATAATCAAGAAATTCTATATTTTCTTAGTGATAAGAAAGGAAATTAGAATATGAAATAACAATGTAACCAATATAAAGTAAAAGAAAGTAATTGTATATCAATAATGACCGGAATGTGCCTTTACAAGTGGAATCCCCTTCCCTTATATAGGAATCTATAAGTACAACGTTTCTTTCCTTTTATGACTAAATCATTATGAACATTAATGATATTAATGAGACATTATAATTGGCAATCTTAACTGTCTAGGAAGATTCTGTAACGTCTATGATGATTCATGCACATTAATTAACGATTCATGAATCTTCCTTCTTTACTGTGTTGATTCATTATGCCGGTGTCTCTTCATATAGCAATTCAGACCCGAGTGACCATACCCTTTTATCTCGTAGGTGATTTGCTCGTACCTATTATGACTCGTGCCTCTTTTAATGCATCTCTCCAGCTGTTGCTTTCTTAGTGATCCACGTGTCTTGCCACATCAGCCACATATATAAATTCATGTGTAATATTATTTTTACCAATACAAATTTGATGCAGGGTCGTTTGTCTGCTGGGCTAGTCAAGCATGGGCTAATTCATTGATCTTTGAGCTTTGATTACCAAGGAATAGAGACTTTACAAATAAAGCCCGAGGATTGGCATTTCATTGCCGTCATTTTTTTTTATGTATATGGGACAATTATCTCCGCTCTCAATGTGCCTATGATGTAGAGGTTGCCGGGCTGTTAGCTAGTGTGTATCATCTTACGAGAATAGAGGATGGTGTAGATCAACTAGAAAAGATATGCATAGAAGAATTTGCCTCCACGAGGAATACCTCGGTCTTTAATATTTTTTATTTGGTAATAAAAAGAATTTTATTTACCGAGTATATATGTACAATGCAAGAAAAATAATAAAAATGGACAAAAGCCCCAGTTCTACCCGACCAACTCAACAATAATATTCCAATAATATTTAAATTGTATTATTCTTCAAATACATATCAATATTCCATATCAAACGTACTAAATTGAGTTGGACCCATAGTACTAAAGATACACTTCACTATTTTCTTTAAAAAAAAAAAGAGAAGGAAAATACAAAGATGTAACAACTAACCTCTAGGGGTTGTAGATTGAACCGGCCGTTTAACTGAAGTTACTGAACCGCAAAATCGTTTAAAATAACCCGGGGAAGATATTTCCCCCAATTTGCTTCTCTCACTCATAATCGTAAACCCTCACAATTTCCCAATTCTGAATCCTCTCCCCCCCCCCCCCCCCCT